TATATATATATGGATATAGATGTTTGAAGAATTATAGAAATTTATTTATTCTCCTTTAAGCAAATAATAAGACAGAAAAAAAGAGTATACTATATTATATAATGTAGGTATATACATTTTCACAAGAATAAATCGTCAAATTCAATTTTAAATTCTTTATTTATATTGTAGATTAATATCGTCAGATATTCTGCACACAATCAATAAATAAATTTACAATACGTAATTGAAAAATGAGAGAGAATTTCCAATTAAAAATATTTTTTTTTCCCAAGTCCAACCCATTGAGATTTTCTATAAAGTAAGTTGTCGACAGCTTTACTCGATAGAATGCGAGGATAAGTGAAAATAAGTGAAAAGTAAAATGCATTTTTTGGTGTCTTACCATTGTCAGAGTACCAACTACCAGCGTGAGAGGATCTCCTAATTAATGCCATTTTTTTGGCCAAACGCGTCGTGTCGTCTCGTATGTATTCGCGTTCAACGACGCTTCATCTAGCGTGAAATCCTCGGCGAGATCACAAGTGAGATAGAAGTAAGTTGTATATTTTAACCGAGTGTAAATGTTTATAAAACGTTATCACAAAAATCCTTGTACTGCTCTTTCCATAGATTATTCAATGAATGTAGGTGAATGTTTAAAGTCGATATGCAATTGACTGACGATGAAACAAAGAGTGAAACAAACAACATGGCTGATTTGCAATTTCGTTGGTGAAATTGAATCGAAGCGCGTCTATTGGTTAATACGTCATGCTGCGTTCAGAAATGTCGCTCGGATGCCTCAGATGCATTGGCCTACAGTTTATATACATCGTGCACTTGATACAGGTACTAATTACTCGTAGTATGAAGTTTCTATGTATTAAATTATTTTAATTTCAGCGATGTATTCAAAGAATGATATACTATGTACTAAATTGATACAATATGCATGAAAATGATAAATTAAATACGCATATCATGTACATGTTTCAACGTATCGCCGAAATTAACATCATTCAATAGAAAGTTACTAAAATCTGAACTAGTGTACACTTTTGAAACTTAAAGTGAGACAGATATACGTTTTGCAGCGAATTGCTACATATAATAAATGTAGGTAATGGAGGGAAGCCAAAATCACAAGTAATAACGTTTGTTTATTAGCACATATAATATCTTATCGCGACAGTATTAATCGATGCCTCTCTGTCTTAACGGCTAAAGAACAAGCGAAGAGCATATCTAGATGGGAAATTCGATATCGTGTTCGTGAAAGCGCGCCACCTGGTCACGGAGTGTGTGAGTCTAGACGAGTATAAGGCATGGTTGAAGTATAACTGAAAGAGTGTGAGAATGTGTGTGTATGTGTATGGAAGTGTGAATGTATCTCTACAGTTTGATATTTGTTTAAAGAGAGAGAGAGAGAGAGAGAGAGAGAGAGAGAGAGAGAGAGAGAGAGAGAGACTAGTTAGTGTATCAATGCACGATGTAAACTAGGAACTTTAGCTAAAACCAGCGGCACGCACGATGTTTGTTTTTACGAAATTATCACAGCCAATGATGAACTTATTCCTGCTTAATGGATGATTGGTGGATTTCATAATCCGTCTTGCAAACGACGCCATTTTTAGTACTTCTTCCAGTCGCGCGCTCTTTTCTTATAAATCTATAATAGAACTAACCTTAGAACTAACTTCAGCTTTAGGCCGAATGCATTGGAGGTGATCGAAGGCATTATTCGATCGAGTGACATTTCCGAACGCAATTTTATTGCATTCGGAAAGAAATCCACCAATCGCGTTCGGGTACAATATTATACAATATTTCGCGAATCCTCGAAAAAATCCCCTAGAGTAGTTTAGAATTATGCAGCAGGAGAGAGATTAAGTTCGAAACTGTCGCGTTTTGTATATATAGAAAACGCCGACGTAACGCGATGTTTCGCATTATTTCCGTAATCCGAAACGCGAAGAGCGAGGTGGAAATGATCGTACGGCTGTGTTTTGGACCATCCGATCTGCTTCGATCCGCGCATGCATGTGTGTATACATATGTGTATGGATACCAACATCATACGTATGCAGCAGTGTGCAAACCGCGCTGCGCGCATCTTTAGCTCGTTGACATCGCTGGTCGCTCGCTTGAGCACGGTCGTACCAATTATTAATATGGCAGATGTTCGGGTCTCGGGTCTTTAGTGTTGTTTAAGTTCGTGAAACTGCGACTACAGCGAGTAGTGCGAGTGATAAAACAGTGGGTCCTGTTACCGAAGGGCACTGTCATGTATATGAGATTTTGATCGGTGCACGTCTCAACGTCCACGTGCGAATCTGTGATTTAACGTGCGCACGAGCACGAAAGAGAGGAAAGTGCGAGGGAGACGATATTGGCTCGAACGTACAGAATCGCGTACAAACTCCCTCGTCGCCGTGAGTGCACTAACATCGCCAACCAACCTCGACGACAACGAGAGGCACATCGACGACGTCTCCGTGTGTGCGCGCGCGCGCGCGCGCGAAAGAGAAAGAGAACGAGCGTTTTTCTTTTTTTTTTCCTTTTTTTTTTTTAAACATTCGTCCACTTTGTTTATCATCAGGAACACAATGGAATTCGTCGCGTTGTGATACGCAGCCGGTGGCGCTTGTCCCAGGTAGTGTCGCGGCTCTCTGCGCTTTTCCTTTTCGTTATTTTCACATCTCATTCTTTTTCACGCACTGTATTATAACCTTTCGCTCCCCTCCCCCTTTATATCATCTCCCCTGTCAATCCGTTCTCTGTCCTCCGACAGCGGAGACTGATGCTTGTGTTTACTTGATACGCGTGGCGACTCGCTGCTGTGTTCGCGGAGGGATAGATTTTAGGTGTCTCTCTCTTTCTCTCATGCAGTTTCCGAGAGAAATGAAACAAATCACGTATCAAGCGTCATTATTGTGTGTACACTTTTGCAAGTTAAAGGTAGCTTTATTTACCAATACGCATGTTTGCTGTGGATTATCTCATTTTTTTTTCTTTTTTTTTTCCTTCTAAGGGACCATGCAAGAAGCTGGGCATAACTAGATTTGATGTGACTACCGAAATATTGGATTAAAATAAACTTTGTCTTTTTTGGTTATTATTGTGGTATGCATAATAAAATAATAAAGATTCGCACGTAACGTAAAAGTGTAATGTAATTGTTGTGATTATGAAGATCTGTTTATAGCGAACCTGACATTGATATTGAATACATTCAATGAATGAAGGTTGACATGTGTATTTGAATCTCAACGATCATTACATAGGCAAAATCAGAGTTCTTATCATAAAGGCATATTTCTTTTTATGTGCTTCAGACATAAGGAATATGTATTTGTATATATATTTGAGGTATATATCTGATTAAAATAATTTTTTGTTTGTTGTCAGGTGTGTATGTATCATCGTCTCTGTACTGCATTTTAATGTAACTATTACGGAAACACTGCGAAAAGGAGAAGGTAAACGATACGATGCATTATATGATAGTCACTGAATCATTCCAGCTAGAATCACGAATTAATCGAGATTTTTCTTATTTCAGGTTACAAGTGATTACGGATCTTTGTCATGGATCAATGGCGATCTCATGAAATTATTAAGTTTTCAAGTGTTGTGCTAGAGAAAAAAAAGTGGATGTGTTAATCAAATCTGCAAGATACGAGTACTTGGTGTGCCTGCTTGCGGGCAAAAACATTTTTTTTTTAAATAGTGCCACCAGGCTATGGCCAACTTGAACTTTGAACAACCGCCACGCAGTATTGCGAACGCAAGTCTTACTTCACGTGCTGCCGTTGCTGGGGGAGGTTTGAACACCGTGGCCCTCGCGGGTCATGTCACGCCTACCTCGGGCATGTTCTCAGGCTCGTCCGCAAGTACTTCGAGTACAGCCAATTCAGCGATAATCACCACTAACGTTTATCCTGGAGCATCTGGTTCTGGCGGTGGACAGAATAATCATCAGCAACAGCAGCAACTCTCTCCTATGGGCAGTAGAGGACTGTTTGGACAGAGAGCTTTTACTGATAGACGTACGATGCCTGCTCTTGGGTTAGTGTATCTCTCTCCCTCTCTCTCTCTCTCTCTCTCTCTCTCTCTCTCTCTCTCCTCTCTCTCTCTCTCCCCCTCCCTCCCTCTCTTTCTCTCTCTTTCTCTTTGTGTGTGTGTGTGTGTGTGTGTGTGTGTGTGTGTGTGTGTGTGTGTTTGTGTGTGTGTGCGGGCGTGTGTGTGTGCGCAATCATTTCCATCTGTATTGTAGAGCTTCAAATCCAATGGGTAGTATGGGCAGTTTCGGATTACCTCCAAGTCGCAATTACGGATCTCAAGGTGCGGTTAACAATTTCCACTCTGTTTTTGGGAGTGGAGGTGGTGGAGATACAAGTACTCCACC